CCTTGCTTTTGTCCTTCATGTCATTGAGCACTTCGTGAAACAGTTCCAGATTGTCTCTCCGACATGCTTCGAGTATCTGTTCTTTGGGGGATGCGCCCTGCCCAGTTCGTCAGTGGAGAGACCGGAAAACGTAGGTGTCCTGCTCACATCGACATGTTCAGCCATGATCGCCGTCTATAAAAAGAAAGCCGCGGAAACGTTGCTAGGCGCGGCAACACGTTCGCGGAATTGGGATTGGGGTACTGATGTCGTGTAACTACGCTCGAATTCGACGCGGAAGGGCACGGGGAGGAGTGATTGGAGCAGGTGTCGTGGTCGTGGTGAACGGAGTGAAGGATTGAAAGGATAGAAGGAGTGTAACAGGCGCAGAGAGTGAGAGATTTAAATATTGAATTGCGGTGGACAAAGGGGCTTCTCAAACACTTCAATCCAGGCATCCCACCAACCCCTCGACACCGCCTGCGCCTCGTGGAAGCAAAATTGCCGAGAACCTCTCCAGCTCCAACTTCATTTTGCTGTGTTTGCACCTTTTGCTCAAATTACACTTACGTCTACAGCAATTTACTCAGAACGAGTTATCCGCTCTTTACCTGCAGGAGGGTGTTGAGTCTCCTCGATCATGGCTCCTACATGTAAGCGAATATCTCTGGTCGCCCGGGGATCCTGTGTTGACAATTGAAACTAGTCTGCCCGTATTGCTACAACTGCCTCACAATCCTCCGGGCGCCGGGAAACGATCAATATCCTTATGGTCGCAACGCCTTTGCTTGCAGAACATGCCCGTACCAATTCGTCCTTGACGGGCGTTACTACGACCGAACATATATGAAGAAGAAAGAAAAGGACGATATTCTGGGAGAGGAGCAGTCTGATTTGCCGGTCAATGAAGGTATGATGCTCCATCTACGGCAGAAGAAGCAAGAAAAAAGCATGTTTTTGACACTATTGACTGCCTAGTCCCTGGAGGATGCCCGAACGAGACATGCGATTCCAAAAAGGCATATTTCTACCAGTTGCAGACACGAAGCGCAGACGAACCGCCTACATCTTTCTTCAAAGTATGTTATGAGGTGGTCCCAAGGCTATCATTTGGGTACTGACGATGGGCAGTGTATTGAATGCGGAAAACAATGGAGAGAATACTGATTATCATACCTCACACAACGTCTGATTCCAAGCCAGAGGCATAATCCCCCCTCTTCCGTGGACAAAATGCACAGAAGGTCCCCCAACCGAGTGTGTTGTCCTTGGTAAAGAAAGAAAGAGACAAGTGGTAAAGGTCAAACTCGTAGACCTGCGACAGAATGTTTTTTTTTTTTTTTTTTTGAGGAAAACGGCCTCCTCGTCGAGATAGAGGTTGAGGCAAAGAAAAAGAAAAGTTGGTACGGTCAATACGGCTAAGACAATGGCCGGACAAGGTCTAATTGAGCGCGAAACGACGGATCTAAACCTCGCGAATTTGCCGTCGGGACTAGCTGCAGCCTTGCTCTACACTGTGCAGTAGCTGGATATCCAGTGCAAAATAGATGTGGGAGGCGGCGAAGGATTAGACAAAGAAAGTCTAGTATGGCGTCGAGGAAAACCAGGCAACAACTTCTGGGGGCCATCAGGAAGGTATGCAGGGAAGCGCAAACAGCAAGATGAGTCAGTGCTATTGATACCGCACAGGAGTTGTTGCTGGCATGGGCGCAAGCAACTTGTTTGGACCTAAGTCAGATGGAGCTGATGACTCTTAACTCCTGGAGAGTGCTACGTGTCGAAATGGACAGAAATCAGCCGTGATACAGGGAAAATGCTGGAGCTCCAAAATTGCCAGAAGACAACCACTGTTAAGAGTCTTTTGGTGACATCGATGGCGAACTCATCTAGAACTTGGTAAAATGGGTTGCCACAGATATAGACTATGGCAGCCTCGGGGGGAATTTTGGAGCCTATTGTAGCATTCCAATTGGCTGCTACTGGCATGAGGCGACGTTGACACGCAGCAGAATCTCCAAGTCGCTAGCACATGCCGAAGCTTTCTGATGGCCGTCGCCAATCACAAAAGATGCGACCAGGGGGCTGACGGCGAGACGGATAGCTGCCTGAAGTGAGGAATAGCAAGTTCTCGCAGTAGTGGGGCTTGGGCCGCAAAAGACAGTGGTGACAATGGTGAGCGTGAACAGGTTGACAGGCTGGAGTGCGAGAGGGACGGTTCAACACGGGCTTTTTTTTTCCCTTGAGTCACTGCCACCGAACTGCTCAAAAACGCCAAGCTTGGTCCCTCGCCATGGTGGCCCGCCAGCCTACAAAATCTTCCGCACACTCTCGCCGACTTTGATTCTCTCCCTTCTTCGTCGCTCAGTGAGTTCTTCACCCTGCCCCTACACTTTCCATCACCAAAGACTAATCAGTCGACAGCACCTCTACGCAAGCCGTGGTACCTGAGCATTCCTCTTGAATTCTTCTAGTATCTGCCACAGAACTACAAGACTTCATCCAAACCATCACAAAAACTCCAATCCGTCACCATGGGGTAAGCACACTTGCCAAACCTGCCTGCGCTCGGCTTCCATCGTCCAAGCATGCCTCAATTCGATATCAATCATCATCGCTGACATGCCTTTCATCTGTTCAGTAAGGAAAAGACTCATATCAACGTCGTCGTCATCGGACACGTCGACTCTGGCAAGTCCACCACCACCGGTAAGAGGAAGCCCTACAGGACCGCAGGCACAAAGAAATACTCACATCCAGACAGGTCACTTGATCTACAAGTGCGGTGGCATTGACAAGCGTACCATCGAGAAGTTTGAGAAGGTATTTTGTCCTCTTTTCCCAAGGAACACGCCTTTCGTTTGCCCTCACTCTGGATTTACCACTCTGGCCACCCAAAAAATTTTGGTGGGGGAGGGGTACAACCCGTGTCACGTGCCATGCCACACATTTTCGCAGGCTGGTCTGTAGACTGACAACTCTCAACAGGAAGCCGCTGAACTCGGCAAGGGTTCCTTCAAGTATGCTTGGGTTTTGGACAAGCTCAAGGCCGAACGTGAGCGAGGTATCACCATCGATATCGCTCTGTGGAAGTTCGAGACTCCCAAGTACTATGTCACCGTTATCGACGCTCCCGGTCACCGTGACTTCATCAAGAACATGATCACTGGTACCTCCCAGGCTGATTGCGCCATTCTCATCATTGCCGCCGGCACTGGTGAGTTCGAAGCCGGTATCTCCAAGGATGGTCAGACTCGTGAGCACGCGCTGCTCGCCTACACCTTGGGTGTCAAGCAGCTCATCGTCGCCATCAACAAGATGGACACCACCAAGTGGTCTGAGGATCGTTTCAACGAAATCATCAAGGAGACCTCCAACTTCATCAAAAAGGTCGGATACAACCCCAAGTCTGTCCCATTCGTGCCCATCTCCGGCTTCAATGGTGACAACATGATCGACGTCTCCAGCAACTGCCCCTGGTACAAGGGCTGGGAGAAGGAGTCCAAGGCTGGCAAGGCTTCGGGCAAGACTCTTCTCGAGGCCATCGACGCCATTGATCCTCCCACTCGTCCCACCGATAAGCCCCTCCGTCTCCCTCTCCAGGATGTCTACAAGATCTCTGGTATCGGAACCGTGCCCGTCGGTCGTGTTGAAACCGGTACCATCAAGGCTGGTATGGTCGTCACCTTCGCCCCCGCCAACGTCACCACTGAAGTCAAGTCCGTCGAAATGCACCACGAACAGCTCGCCGAGGGTGTTCCGGGTGACAACGTCGGTTTCAACGTCAAGAACGTCTCCGTCAAGGAGGTTCGTCGTGGCAACGTCTGCGGTGACTCCAAGAACGACCCCCCCAAGGGTGCCGACTCCTTCAACGCTCAGGTCATCGTCCTCAACCACCCTGGCCAGATCGGTGCAGGCTACGCTCCCGTCTTGGATTGCCACACCGCCCACATTGCTTGCAAGTTCGCTGAGCTCCTTGAGAAGATCGATCGTCGTACCGGCAAGTCCATGGAAAACAACCCCAAGTTCATCAAGTCTGGTGATGCCGCCATCGTGAAGATGGTTCCTAGCAAGCCCATGTGCGTTGAGGCCTTCACTGACTACCCACCTCTCGGTCGTTTCGCTGTCCGTGATATGCGTCAGACCGTCGCCGTCGGTGTCATCAGTAAGTCCCTTCTTCCCCCTCTTCCCAGATCATGTGCTGACAATACACAGAATCCGTCCAGAAGACCGAGAAGGGAGGTGGCAAGGTCACCAAGGCTGCTGTCAAGGCTGGCAAGAAATAGATGTCTTGCACAGGAATTAATTCAATCCATCTCACAGTGGTATTGTTTCTTGTGGCGGAGGTTGTGGAAGATTCACCTTCAGGAGCGAGCTTTCATTCCACGGTTCATGAATTGCGGGATTCAAAATCTACTCCTGACCCTGGAGATTTCATGGTTTCCGCACGGTTAATTCTTGCCATCATCATCGGTCTTGTCTTTCTCAGCGGCTCCTTGATACGACACCAATATGTACTTGCTACGTTTCGGGGTACTACTGGCTTTGACGAAAAAGAGCATGGTCATTTGACTCGAACTTGGGCTGTGCTTATGAACCATCTGATAGATAGATTTCATGTCCGTCAAGGGTTATCCAAATAGCTCTACAGTCAATCAGAGGACGTGGATGCCCAAAATCCCAACAAGTTCGAGTATTCGGTTACCCCAAAAAAATTTTTCCTTATAAATTATTATGACGTGTTCAGGCATTTCCGCTCAACTACTCTAGATTCAGTCCTGGGGCTTTTTACCTTTACCCACCCAAGTATACATCAATCCACTATCCTCACTGTACACGCGCGCACACCTCCCCAGCGACGTTCTACCTCACATCGAGAATATACTGCAGCGGCGACATCCACACGCTGATGGGCCGCCGATGGAAGTTCTCCAGCCGGCCTTATGCGCCTCCAAAGCTTGAGTGCTAGGATTCTTGAGCTATCTCATCCATCCTACCCCATCCTGTCCCACCGCCATGTTTCGTTACCAAGCAGTATATCCGCCATCCACGATCTGGAGCCTTAGCATCAGCAGAGCCGTTCCCAATTGTAAGTCGGGGGAGAGCAACAGAATGGTTGTCTTACCACATCACTGCCGTTCAAGTACTGGGGTACGAGAGTTAGCTTGTATCAAAACTCGTCATGCTTAGAGGAATTCCGTCTGGAAGGATATAGAAATTTCGATGAAAGAGGAGTACTCACACTACTCGCTCCACTCGCCATCCAAACGATTGTGCCTCTCAGCTCATGAGGTTCAGCCATCCTTCCCATGGGAATGTCCTTCTCCCAACTGCTCACGAGTTCTTTTCCTTCATTTTCCAGCAATCCTTTTATAAGATCCGTCTTCATGTAGCCTGGACTCAGGCTGTTGACTCTGAGGCCCCGTGGGCCCCATTCCGTTGCCAGGGATTTAGCGAGCATCTGTACAGCACCCTTGGAGGTGTTGTATGCGGCTTGCTTTTGAGGACGGACACAGATAGTTGCAGACATGGATGCAATTAGTATTATGGAGCCTTGAATGTTGTGTTGGAGCATGTGCTTGCCAGCTTCACGGGCGAAAAGCCATGAGCCGCTGTGAGAGTTCCGCAGTCAGCTCCGTTCGATTTTCTCATAATTTGCGGAGGACAGAGTGGGCTGAACTTGCTCAATGTTGATGTCCAACATCTTCCGCCACCGGGCATATTCATAATTCTCGGCCTCGACGTTATCTACGATTCCAGCGGCTGTGACAAGAACGTCGACTTTCCCGAAGTCCTCAACGATCTTTGCCCAGGTTGTCTTCACGTCTGACTCGATGGTTGCATTGCACTCGTAGGCACGAAGTTCGGGAGCAGGGTCATTTGGGTAGGTGTCTCGTACTTGAGAGGCTATAGAGGCAATGGACGATTCGCAGTCCTTCAGAGACAAGTCAATGCACGCTCCTCTGGCGCCGGAGAGAGCAAAAGCTGTGAGGAACTCCTTTCCCAGTCCCCGAGCAGACCCAGTCACGACGCATGTTTTGTCTTCGAGGGAGAAGAGGGGTAAAGTCTTGAGAGTGCGACGAGACGGAGGGAGTCGTATGGGCCCGGAAAGAGAGGCAAAGAGAGGCCGCAGAGTTCGTGCAGAAACCATTTTCAAAGACGTCCCAAGCCCAGACGAGAACAATCACCGTGTCTATCTCTTTCCCAATATCCTGAACGCCCGGCCGTCGTACTTACTATCGTCTCTCATGTCGAAGTTTTTTGTCTAAACGGGAATGAGGACGTTTTGTCAATAAGCGGGCTGGCCGCGGGGAGACCTCCGTGCGGTGTATGGCCTGTACAACAGCTTCGGGCCATCTTGCACCGATGCGTGGGAATAATACCTGAGGACCTGCTGAAGCTGCAGCGAGTCGCAATGCTTGATCGTAGAGATTCTCAAAAGAGAAGAAGCAGCCTCCCAAGTCTGGTCGCCGTGAAGCACAGCAGCTGCGGGGGGCTCCGGGTCGACCGATCCAAAGCTGAAACTTTGCAACCCACCTATTCGGCAAGCTGCACGTTGATGACCCTTGTTAAAGCCTTACTAGCCCCCCTGCTTTTCGTATCTGCACGCCTAATGCACAGTGTCCAGGTCGGTTTGGGGGCCGATTTGACTGTACCAGCCAATTGTGCGTTTCAAAATGGAATGAGCGTTACGCGTGCCAGCACAGGAAGCAATCCTAATTAAAAGGAGCCGCATGACTTGCTGGCACGCCTCTTAGTCACTGGTTCTCTGCTTCAGACCCGGTGCCTGCGAGAGCTAGATAACCGTGCACAGGAAGCAGTTGTGAGAGTATCAGTTCAACCTCCGTCAAAGATGCCGTCCTCAATGCTGGATGTGAGGGATGACCGCCGTTCAAGATCGAAATCTCCAAGTGGTCGCGACAGAGATCGATCGAGATCGCGCTCACGCGACGTCCGAGACCGAGACTCCCCCGATGAGTACAGTAGCAGGCGATCGAGCAGGAAATACACAGACCCACAGGATGAGCCAGAGCCGGATCGCGGGTACAAGGACAGACGGTCCAGCAAGAAATACTACGAGCAGGAGGAAGAAGACGAAGACGACCGCCGCAGAAGTAAAAGAAGCTCGAAGAAATATGTGGACGAGAGTGATGAGGGGGACAAATATCGCTCTTACAGGTCGAGCAAGGACCCTCGAGTACAAGAGATAACACCCTCAGACGACGATAGGAGATACGACCGAAAGAAGAAGTCTGACAGTGACTCGGATCGACGCAGAGAGGAACGAAAGAGGTCTAGCAGGAAGAAGCATGACGATTCAGCAGAGAGCGACTCAGATGCGCGTCGTAGGTACAGAGACAAGGATTCCAATCACCAGAATGGTCACGGAACATATGGTTATCCGCCAGGATCCTACGCCGAGATCAGACCCGAAGCATCTCGCCATATGAGTTACATTCCTAGCGATCCTCGATACGCCGCCCCAGGAGCATTCAATGGTGGAGGCGCTGCTCATGCGGCACAACGGACGAATTCATACAGCAATTCTAGCGGTCCCCAGTACGCCAATCTTGAGCAGTTCAAGTATGCAGACCCCAGTGAAATTGCACCGCGGAGACCGGAGTACGAACGTTCTCGTCCATCAGACTACGAACGGTCCCGCCCTAAAGATGCTAGGGATAACGGCAACGACCAGAGGAGCAGCAAGTACGAGACTCGTGCCCCAAAGGACGAGAACCACGACAACGACAGATATGAGACTCGAGAGCCTAAGAGCAAGGATTATTACGAGGACTATGACAGACACGGCAGGAGTGACCGGAGACACAACGACGACAAATATGGGAACCCACCACAAGACGTAACCAAGAGAATGTCAGCTTTGGCGGTGGGGAGTGCTGCTCTGGGTGCTGCAACATTAGGAGTGGCGCGGCACAACTCTCATGACGGTGGCAAGCCTCCTGCTTCACCGTTACTCGAAGCATACAAGGGGACATATCAATCCATCTCACCTATGCCTTCGGCCTTGGTTCTCGCGAATCACAAGGGCGATTCCGATTTGTCTGACCTCGAACTTGAGCCAGATGACGACTATGATGACGCGGATGCTGAGCTAAAACGGAAGATTCGCCAGCTCGAAAAGGAAAAGGAGAAGTACATGAAGGGACCTAGCAAGAGTGCCAGCCTTGGTGAAACAACCCAGGACGTCCGCCCGCGACGGCCATCGAAACTTGACACCAATCTGGACGTTGAAGTCAGGGAACCCGGCAGTGCCAACCGAGACCGCTCACCTTCTCGGAGCATAATGTCGCCAGGAGGGGGTAACGGGAGAAGGAAGACGGTCTCCTTCTACGACCCTACTGAAGATGCCAAACGTATCGCCGCTGCTCTGTCAGGTACACGGTCTGCACCAGATCCTCGACCGCTAGTGCAAATCCTGCCACGTCTTTCAACCGACGATCTGCTGGCTCTTCGGGCGGAGTACAAGAATCACGCCAAAGTGAGCGGACAGGGCATCAACATGGCCAAGCACATCAAGATGCGTATTCCCGGGAACCTGGGGAAAGCTTGCTATACGACCGCCTTGGGTCGATGGGAAAGCGAGGCATATTGGGCCAACTCATGGTACCAAGGGGGTGCAACTCGACGGGAGTTGTTGATTGAGAGTCTGATGGGCCGCTCAAATAGCGACATCCGCGAGATCAAGAACTGTTTCAAGGACAAGAAATACAATGATGACCTCGAGAAGTGTATCCGCACCGAACTCAAAGCTGACAAGTTCCGAGTGGCCATCTTGTTGGTGCTCGAGGAGAGACGAATGCCAGAATCGTCGCCATTGGACATCCGACTCATCAAGGAGGATGTGGTGCATTTGGCCGAAGCCCTGGAGTCGAAGGGCGGCGAGACGGACATGATCAAAATCATCGTTCTGCGGAGCGATGCTCATCTACGCGAAGTGCTCAGGTTGTTTGAGCGCACATACGGCGTCAACTTTGCAAGGCAGATGATTTCCAAGTCGAGGAATTTGGTGGGGGAGACATTGGCACACATATTGAACGGTGCATTGAATCGCCCCATGCGTGACGCACTTCTTCTTCACCAGGCTATTAACGAGACAGCGCCGGGCAAAGAACGGACAGAGTTGTTGATTTCCAGACTTGTCAGAATGCATTGGGAGCCAAAGCATCTGGAAAAAGTGAAAGCCGTATATAAAGAGCGATATGGGCGCAGCGTGGAGGAGGAGGTCAAGAGGGAGGTTTGGGCGCAGATGAAGACGGTGGAAGGGCGGTTCTGTGCTGAGTTTTGCATCGAGTTGGTTAGGAGCAGTTCAACGTAGGATGAAGAGGAAGAGAGGCAGGATGAAAGGATGATCTGCGGTGGAAGCTATCTTCAAAAGCATAGAGAGCGGCATGCCTGGAAGCCAGACTCGTTCCGAGTACGTCGAGCAGGTGAAGGGGCTTTTCATAGATAGCTAGACCGAACATCAAGCGTATGAAGACGGTGACCACTACGGGAGAGGCGGACTACCTAATACCGTAATATATAGGATGTCACTGTTAATTACAATACGGCGAGACCGGGTTTGGAGATCTCGCTCGGCTCGTTAAAGATCCCGGCACCGAAGACCGATCGGGAAATCTCACACATGCTTGTCATCGATATGCATCTACAATATCCCAGGCAGATCTCTTTCCATCGCGCGGCCCAACTTCCTCGTCTCTTCGCCATGGTCACAAGCCGCCCAGTGGTCTCCTCATGACAATAGCAGCAAGGCGCATTTGCGCCCAGTGCTCCCATCACCTCACTCTTCCTCTCCCTCGACCAGGTCCTCATCGCCCGCTGTCGTGGCGAATCTCCCTCCAGAAGCCTCTACGATCATTTTCCCACTCTAGTCTCCGCGGTGCCTTCGCACCCCCGACGCCTGCATCGCTCGGGAAAGCCGTCCCTGCCAGACAATTCAAGAGGACGAGAAAATGGATGCGCAGATTTGCATACTTGTTTCTGGGTGGGACCGTGGTATATGTGGTGGATAAGAGATATTACGCGTCCAGTCTCACAAGAAGTTTCCGCACTTTTACTACGGGTTTGGTCGCTGCACTGGATTACAAGATCAACTTTCGGGAGGACCCATGGTTTGCCAATGATATTGCCGAAGTACATGCACGCAACGCGACGAGATTGTTCCATCTCTTGCGGACAAATGGCGGGCTGTACCTGAAGATTGGCCAGGCCATTGCCATGCAGACGGCCATCTTGCCTCCCGAGTTTCAAAAGATGTTTTCCAAGATGTTTGATGATGCGCCACAGAATGATTGGGAGGACGTGCGGCGGGTCATAATGGAGGACTTTGGCGGTCGGACGCCCGAAGAGGTATTCGGCATCTCGTTTGAGGGCGATCCTGATGCTGGTGTCATGGAGAGGAAGGCCCGCGCGAGCGCGAGCGTGGCTCAAGTACACTGGGCAAGGCTGAAGGACGGGCGAGAAGTGGCGGTCAAAATCCAAAAGAGGGAGATTGCTCAGCAGGTCGGCTGGGATCTATGGGCTTTCAAGGTGGTGACCCGGATATATACTTGGTGGTTCGACCTGCCCCTCTACTCGCTCGTCCCCTATATCACGGAAAGACTACAACTGGAATGTGATTTTGAGAGCGAGGCGAACAATTCCAAGCGGATGGCCGAACTCATCAAGGGCGAGCCCCGGTTGCGGGATAGAGTGTACATCCCCAAGATTTACGATGATCTTACCACCAAGCGGGTCATGACGGCCGAATGGGTTGAGGGCGTGCGACTATGGGATAAAGAGTCCATTACTCGCCCGTGGCAGGGAGGCTGGCGAACGGGCAGTCCAGGCGCTCACGGCACGCCACTTGATCCTCCTCAAATTCCCATCACCACCTTACAGGAAAAAGGCCGTTCGTACAACGAAGAACTCAAGCCCGACAGGACGTGGTGGAAAGGTCCGAATGGCAGAGGCGGTCTGGGGCTTGATCTCAAAGAAGTCATGACAACTATGGTCGACCTCTTCTCCGCGCAGATGTTTCTCTGGGGCACGGTTCACTGTGACCCGCACCCAGGAAACATCTTCGTTCGACGCCTCCCTAACGGTCACTCTGAACTTGTCCTGATCGACCATGGTCTGTATATCAACATGTCACCCTCGTTTCGACATCAGTATTCCCTATTTTGGAAATCTATAATGACATTCGACAACAAGACCCTCAAGGAGGTCGTCAGCCAATGGGGCATAAACAACGCCGAGATCTTTGCGTCAGCTACACTTATGCGTCCCTATGAGGGAGGGGACCGCTCGGTGACGACCCGCCTGAAGGGCATATCGGAACATGAGAAGAAAAGGCGCCAGTACGAACTGCAACAAGCCATGCGCAAGGGCATCAAAGAGATTCTGGCGGACGAAAGCAAATGGCCTCGTGAATTGATCTTCATTGGTCGAAACATGCGCATTGTTCAAGGCAACAATCAGTACCTGGGCAGCCCCGTCAACCGCATCAAGATCACGGGCAATTGGGCTTCGAGGGCGTTGTCCGAGGATCAGCAGCTCACGTTTGTGGAGAGATGGAGGTTTTTCGGGAGCCATCTGATGTTTAAATTGGTCTTGTGGGCGTCGGATGCATTTTTCTGGTATGCGAAGCTCAAACAGGCGCTGGGGAAAGGGAAGGGCATGGACGATGATGTGGACCAACTCATGAGGGGCATGGCGAAGGATTATGGGATCGAGATGAACCATAGTGTGTTTGAAGGTTGAACTGCACTTCTTGATGGTGTTTTACGTACTGATACCGGATTCCCTTGTATTCGGGCAAAGCATGAGGGGTGTTGTATATATAGAGAAAGGATGGAAAGAAGTCCCCTCAGCCGATGATAGATTCAACCATTGAAATGTATAGAAACTTCAGCCCTCGTCTTTCAGCGAAGTAGAAATGAAGCATGTGGCGCCGAGCTGGCTTGGTCAGTCCATTTAACATAATAATAAACTTCAGCCTCGTTCTCCAGGCAGTTTGAAAAGGTTTTGCTCCTCCTTTCTCTGGCAGCCAGCCGTCATGCAACCGCCACAACTGCAAGTCTGCCGTTCTCTCTCTCTCCATGTGTTCCGCATTCCCTCTTGGGCAAAGGCCTGCGGCTGAGCGGGCTGGGTGGCCCAAGGTTTTTGGAAAATCCACTCGTTCAACCCTCTGAGGACCCGGTCTAGAACGGCTGCGCTCGGCTATTGCTAGAACTGGCGCTCATCGAGCACGAGCCGGTCAGTCAGTGCAAGGGAGCGTCCTGACACGATGGGAGAAAAGACAAATTTCTCGGCCGCACACCTGAACTCGCAATTCCTCTACCTCTACGGACCACCGTTTGGTCGGTTACACCGTTGAGACGCTCTACCATGTCCAGAATCTTGAACTGGATCATCCTGCTGTAAGTTCTGGATTGTCGCCTCTTTATATCGTCACGAGACTTCTCATTCCTCTGAGGAACCAAAAGGTGGTGCCACGCGGCTGGAAAGGAAGTACATTGCTCTTCAGCACCTTCTGCGCCATTGTCCCGACCCTCAATCTCGGTGTTTTGATATGGGCGGCGGCAAAATCCAAAAACGGCGTGTCAGGGGACTACGGCATCCTCGTCCTCTGCGAAGGCCGCGGTTCCCATCAATGCTCGGGCATCCAAGACCTGAACAAGTGGGCGCTTCTTTTAATCAACTTGCTCAGCACGATCCTGTTGAGTGGGGGCAACCATTGCATGCAATCTCTATCGGTGCCGACGAGATCGGACATCAACTCTGCTCATAGCTCGGGAAGATGGCTCGACATTGGCGTCCTGAGTATTCGCAATCTTAGATGGATTTCACGAAAGCGACTGCTTTTGTGGTTGCTGCTTGGGTTATCCTCTCTGCCTCTACACCTCTTGTGTGTTTGTTATATTTCCGTTCTCCCGTTCGTTTTGTTGCTCAAAAAGTTCATTTCTCTCTCTCTCTCTTTTCACAGCTACAATTCTGCCGTCTTCATATCCACCTCCTCGAACAACTATGCCGTGTTCATTGTCGACCGCACCTTCCTCGAATCCAACAGCACAAACGGTGTTTTGACGACGTCGATGTGTCCTACATCTTACGCTGTGGCATCCAACCCGCAGGAGCCGAGGGCATGCCAGCCATATCCATCCCTGAATTTGCCAGCCAGCTACACGACGTCGCCAACTCCAACAAACTCGTCAACTTGACCACGGAGGAATGCAGGACGGCCTACATCAAGACTTTTCAATCGTCGTATCGTAACGTCCTCCTTGTCTCCGATTCCAAGGTCGGTATTGATGTTGTCGACAACGGCTCCTCCAACGTGGTGAGCTTTCTGAATGCGGAATTTGTCTCGAATTTCAAATGCGGAAAAACCCAGGCCTTCGCGCCTGGGCTTGTTGTGAGTTGACCTTGTCTCACAAAACCACGTTCCATATTTTACAACTTTCCGTTCCCGGACGTCCTTAAGTGTCAAGCACACACTGACAATGATGGCTAGTTATGGATGGAACAGCTATAGGGGCGGAGGATTCGTGTGACCTACCGTGTGACGATCCGAAGATCCTCAAGCAGACAATGTCCAACTCCACCTGGGCTCCATTGGGGCCGCCAGTGCAGTATTGTCTCGCCGAGCCGTCGCAGGAGCAGTGCAGTCTGCGGTTTAGCATGGATATTGCGATCTCGGTCGTCGTTTTGAACTTGGTCAAATTGGTCATGATTTTTTTGACCCCCCTGACAGCGTTTGTGAGCAATGACCCTCCTCTTCTGACCATGGGCGACGCCGTTGCTAGTTTCTTGGAGAACCCCGACCCTACCTCCAAGGTAATGTGCCTGCTCAGTGCTTCGAAGATAAAGAAGATGGGCAGGTCCCTGTTGCACCAGCCAGCAAGCCAGAGGACCGCACTGTATCCCAGAAAGGTACCTCACCGGTGGTCGAAAGCCGTCAGCTTGCGGCGATGGGTGATTATTTTGTTTCTCTACATTGCTGCTTTATCCGTTGCCGCAGGCTTTCTCGGTCGTGGAGTCACAGCCATAGTCGGATCGAACTCCCTCTCATCGTTATGGTCGATTGGACTCTGATCCAAAACGATGCCATGCTGCGGTCTAGCAGATCCGCTCTCATCACCAGCGTTGTACTCGCCAATATACCGAAACTGGTCCTCTCACTCTTGTATTTCACCTACAACGGCCTGTTCACGTGCATGCTCCTCGCCAGCGAATGGAACTCCTACTCCCTTCGCCGCAAAGGTCTGCGCATCTCCTCGGCGCGACCCAAAGGCGCACAGCGATCGGGATATTTCCTCCAACTCCCCTTCCGATTTAGCATTCCACTGCCCGTGGCCAGCCTGTTGTTTCATTGGCTGGTTTCCCAGAGCATCTTTGTCGTCAACAACTCCATACTCGATTACACCGGCTCGCCCACTGCCTCGTTACCGGGTACCGTTGGTCATCTCGTGACCTGCTCACCCATTGCCATCATTTTTACCATTTCTCTGGGTGTGCTTCTGATAGTGGTGCTCTTGGGATTTGGATTTGGCGCGAGTTTCCGCACGGGTATGCCCATTGCCGGGAGTTGCAGTTTGGCCATTGCGCCGGCTTGTCATTCTGGTGGATCTTGTGCACAGGGGGACGATGGTGACGAAATGTCAACATCAACGCCAACATCACAGCAGCCGCACATGTGGGGAGAAATACCAGGCTGTTATCGTGACGACGATATGATAACAAGCACACAGGCGTCTCTGAGACCGAAAAGTGTGGATCCCCACCCCTGGTAAAGGCCACCGGGAACAGCGCAGATTCAGATTCAGATTCGGAGTCGAATTTGAATGCGTCTCTTCTGCGCAAAAACCCGACCTGTTTGACTGTCACCCAGTCAGGCGCTACTGACATATCCGGACAAAGCCTCGCTTCCAGACGAAGTCCAAACACGACACGCGTGGCGTTGATGGGTCATGATAACGACACTCCCAACGACAACGACAACGATGAGGCTAAAGAACCAGAGGGCATAGATGGATATTTACTCCGCCCTCGTCCTCGCGGAGACGACGACGACGACGACGTGATGCCTTCTATCGAACAGACGGAAATGTGTATCAGTGATGTTATGGGAAAGGCGGACCGATCCAACATTGATGATAATACCATTCCCATTCCCATTCCGCGACATGAACCAGTTCCTCCCTCGTCAAATGAGAAAGTTGGGCACTGCGGCTTCTCCGCGGGGCCCGTTACGACGCCCGTCGAAGGACGGATTTATGCTTGATTTGATATCTAATGGAGATGAATGAATAACAAGATGCCGGAGGCGGAGTGACGCAGGAAGAAGTACGTTACGTAGCGCGACGATGATGGCGACGACAACAATGACAACAAGGAGGACGAGGAAGGCGGAGCAAGAACACAACAGCCCTGGATGGTGGGTGAGCCGGCGTGTACAAATCCGATTGTTAGAATACTACGTACTATTGACGACCTAAACTGTTGCCGCGAATATGTTCTTCTGTTCCTGCTTTCTTTCATCTTCCTCCCCACCCACTCCCACTCCGGCTTTATATATAGAGAGAGAGAGAGAGAGAGAGAGAGAGAGAGAGAGAGAGAGAGAGAGAGAGAGAATGAATGAAACTGAGACATAGGCTCACCGCCATGCTCTACTCTCCTGCCCTCTTGCCCTCTTGCCCGTGCTCAGTAAGTACATACATTGATCGCGCGGTAGAGAGGCTAATTCCTTGATAAAACACGACTTGGGGAGAACGACAGAGAGAGCGAAATCGGTGAGAATGAGAAACCCTGGAGCATCTTACATATCGCGTGCCTAACGTTAACTTTTCTTTCACGACCCCACAGCCAAATACTGAGCGACGCCTCCGCCTCGTGCGACCGTAAACCCGCTGGCTAGCCGTGGACACATATATCCTGGGACGAGCAAAAGCACCCGAGCCTGCATGAATCTTGAGCACCGCGGCGAGCGCCCCGGCATTTCTGTAGAAGTTGTTGGAGTTCTGGGTTCTGCTTTGGTATCTGGTGTCCTGGCCCAACGGGGAGGGTTGCGCCATACTCTTCGGGCTTGCCGCGGTCGTTGCGCAACTCGTTGGAAAACGCACCGACTCTGAGCGGCGGCGGTGCTGTGTCGTGAGGTATTGCTGGAGCCCTGGCAGGTATTGGTGCTAGTGCACTATACACTGCTGCCGCCGTGTCAGGCGATGATGCGGCTGTTTCAGGGTGGACAGGCATAGGATGGCTGTGTGCTGGCGCCTTTACTGCGTGAACACCCTCCAGCGAATCCTGCAGCATAGACATAGAATAATAAGCAGCCCTAACTCGGGTTACCCAAGTGTGCCTACCTCTGTGCCTCCAAGTCGTGCGCATCAATCTCGAATACATGTTGACGGTGACCCGGTCAATAAACATCAAATCTAGCGGGAAGGGAAGATTGCAACCTAGGATGCAAGCCGGCATGCCGAACCTGACTCCCGGTCGGAAAGGTCAATATTAGTCGTTCTCAGGACTGACGATGTTGAGAGGAAACCGGTGTGACCTGTACGGTCAATGAAAGATGCTTGAGAAGCAGTGAGAAGTTTGGTTGATTGCGGATGAGCTCAGTATATAATTTCTTGCTGGACATCAGTAAATCGGGTGGGAAAAAGGCAAGGCTGATGATTGATGTGCTTTTTCAAACATCGTCACGCCAAGTCATCGTTCTGTACTTGAGCATCCATCTACCAGGGCTGCTGGAATGTTTGTCGTGCCATTTCTCGTGTTGACAGCATCCAGCTCGCCGTTAAATTTCCAAATCGGGCCACTGTGGTCTGGCCGGTAGATAAAACGTGAGTGCCAAGCGCACACTTGGCAGCGCTGCGGTTGAAAACCAGGAGTCGTGCTGGTAAATTCATTTTCAGAGAGTCAGAACGACAATGGACCATACCCCTAAAGGTCGAGGTTAGGCGAATGATTTCGCAAAACCTTGACTATCGAAGATAGAAATCTCACTGGCAGCGCCTTCTCAGCGACAACCTCCCTTTCCTCGAGCAGATGGTTCTAGAAATATTTTGCCGGTGTTGAAGGATATCGAAGCCGTCAAGATTCGGCTGTGGGGCAAGCATCGTTCCAATACACGAAGCGAAGTATTCGATGGAGTAATTTCCGGTTGCAACGATCCTCGACTCCGCACATCCGCATTGAACTGTTTTCTGAGGACGGAGATGGGTTTGCGCCCGGGATAGTAGCGAAGCGAAGGATGATCTTAGAGAATATACTCGTCGTCGTGCGCGAATGCAAACTGGTGGGCGACGACAGCACAGGAAATGAAGCAGACGCCAGAATGTCTCCGTGGCTTGAGCTTTTGAAGATGTGGACGCACCGCCGTTCGCCATGGGCTTTGGGCCCTCTTCCGCGTCTGTCTGCTACCGGCAGCTTTGAGGGGGATTTCAAATTGGTCGTCCGTAACTTCGCGAGCATGACATGGCATGAGCCGTGAGCAGAGGCTGACAGAAGAGTTTAGGGGGTTGAAACGAAGAGCCTTTTTGTACGAGGTGTGTGTCCTTGAAACGTCATCTCCCGCTGGGCAGAGAACTGATTCAGAAATCGAGATGGATCCAGTCAGTTCCTGCAAAGAAGCCCGCGGTCTGTGGGGTCAGGTCAGATATGTAGAATCGACTCGAGTCTCGCTTACCAGACCAGACCTACAGTGTGCGCCATCAGACGAAAAGTGTCAAGGAAATAGTAGAACAAAGAGAGCTGTAAATGTTTTGATTTTCTGATTCCGGTACATTGGTATGTTGGTAGTGGTAGTAAAGGTGTGACTAAGGCTACAGGTCCGCAGCCGCAGGAGGTATTCTCCAGAGTAAAAGCCGTTTTGATATGTTGCAACATGGCCGCACCTGAAAAGGTTCTTGCTTCCACGGCTCTGATCCAACTTCCCCGGTACATTGATACCTCCCCTCCATGGAGACCAGCACAGTATATTTGACCAAATTTTCGAAGCAGAGCCTGCCATATATTCTGGGTATGTTGAGATCATCAGCGAAAAGACAACCAGAGCACCCAACGCCGCTAAACCATCATTACAGTCGGGCCTTGCCAACGATATCCCCGTGGTTCTCCAGCGCCCGAGCTTCCAATCAAGGCACAAAATGCAAAGGTCCCATTCTTGGACGAACGTTTCTCCAGTCACATGGTGGACGAGGTATACAACCTAGTCGGAGCAATGTACCGCTCATTAAAACAAATATGTCGGCGAGAATCCAGTGACGATCAAACACCAGCCCCTAGGATGACCGATTTACATCATCATCATCATTCTGGTGGCTCGCTTGCTGCTGAAGCTCGGTCGAGGGGAGCTCTCGCCGCCGGCCCAGGGTTTGTGGAGGAAAGGTTGACCGTCGATGTTATCCCAGTGAGCAGTCTGTGTCGTGGCGGTGCTGCTTCGGTTTGGGTTGAAGTGGGCCTTGGGAATGGGCATCATGTCAATGGTGCTGCCCCGGTACAGTGGTCCCATGAGGCGATCCTTGACCGACTTGTTTCGTCGAGGCATTCCTGAGTTCTGAGGCGGGTTCTCGGCGAATTTGTCGGGTTTGTCGGTGCCATCCTCGTTCTTCTCGCCCGCGAGAATGGCGCGTTCTTTGTTGAGGGCGGCTAGATGTCGAGAGCGGCGGAAATGGATGATGAAGAAGGTGATGAGGCCCACGAGGAGGAGGGCCGCAACAGCGATACCGACACCGAGACCAGCTTTGGCACCGGTGCCCATGTCGCGTTTATAAAGGTGTGATATGGGCGAGGCGGAAGTTCTGGAGGGAAAAGCGGCCAAAAAGAGGGTGAGGAACGCGGAAGGGTATTGAAAACGAGCCATGGTGAGTGACATGCGTCGGTATGATCAGGAAAATGAATTGGATTTGACGATTCGTGTGGCGTCTTCGACCAGCGAGAGAAGCTATTCGAAGGAAAAACGATCAGGTTGTTGGGAGGAATCGAGGTGTGAAATTGGGAGGAGTCGGAGCGGTCTTGGGGAGGGCGAGGCGGACGGAGTAATATGCACAAAAGGGGAACCAAGGCGGACCAGAGCCTGTTGGAAAGCTGGACAGAAGGATGTGACGGAGTTCTGAAGGATGTCAGTCAGTTGGAGGTAAGTAAGCACTTAAGGAAAAGATGCAAAGAACAAGTCGCGGACAAGAGAAGACGCAAGACGCAAGATGCAAGAGCGAGACGCGGGTTTGAAGTCCAAGTGGTCGCTGGCGACTTTCAGCCTGCTCTTGTCTCTGGGGCATCCAGGGCTGAAGTGGCACGACAAGCGGCCAGCCGCCAGTATTGAGCCACCCAAGCGTCCAGCACAGCTTCGGTGACACGGACAAGCACCCCAAGGGCACAAAAAAGGAGATGGGCCTAGCCGAAAGGAGTTCCTCCATCATCTTCTGAAACGTTGGAGAATGCGAGTGATTGGAGGAAGCGCCGAATGGAGCCCGCCAGGCTCAGGCTTGTCAGGCTTGTCAGGCTCGAGAATAGAAAAGACATTTTCTCAATAACGAGAAATGGCTGACTGGCTGCCGTGATTGGATCGCCGGGGCCATGACACCGTAGCCAGGGCCATCCTTGACCTTGGTGGCCTCTGGGGAAATTCAGGTTTTGGATGGACACGAATGGACGACGGACATGATCAGCTGGTGGGAGTGCTAGCAGCTCTTGGAATTTTCTTGTCGTTGTCACAGGCAAGAAAGACATGTCCGGGGCGCTTGAAAAGGATAGCAGCAAGTGGCTGCGGTGCGGTTGAGAATGAGAATGACAAGAGACCAGAGAAAAGAAAAGTGAAAAGTCACGAGAAGTCACAGACTGCGGTGACTGCGGTGACTGCGCTGTTTCAGGCCGCGTCGTCCTGGCCGCCCTCGTCCTTCACTTCGACCCCTTCAAGCTCCATCCGACCAGGGCACAACCTTGAAACCCAGCTGCCACCATCTGGCACCATCCCACTGCCAGTGCCACCACTGTTCTGTCCAGCTCGTCCAGCGCCCGCCCGCTACCAAACGCCGCATTTCCACTTCTCCATCCCGCTCCATCGGCCCTTTCCTGTTCCTGAACAATCAAGGAACGCGCTACGGACTTTTTCCACCAGTCTGTCCGACTGGCTGCATCGCATTCGCACGAACACCGAGTGCCGGCCCTAAACCTTGCGTTTACCTTGCATCTACCTTGCCTCGCCGAGTTGCGAGACTCCTACGCTAACCTCCCTTCCTCACCCTTGCCAACAAGTACGCGGACTTACGAGACCGGGAACTCTATTTTCCCCTGTGACACGTGATGTGAATGGACCAGGAAAAAAGATCAAAGGTCGACTATTGAGGAAAGAGATCGTGGGGCTAGGGAGCGCATGACAATTCTTGCATCCCATGGAAGAATACGACCTGAGAGGATCAGAAACTGGAACATTGTGCTTCACACCCAGTCGATTGTACAACCCACCACAATTCCCCCCTTCCACGACATTGTCCCGCCGCAGCACAATAAGTGGGAATTGCCCCCAACGCTGCTCGCCTGACAAAGGTGGTCCATGTAGCCAAGACAGGGGAAAAAAAGCACAGCCTTGCGGGCTGTTTCTTTTCAATCGTCGCAAAAGAACAGAGTTCGAGACCTGTCATCTAGAGATGGAATCATTCATCATCCTGCTGCATACAACGAGGCTGTGCCAGGAGATAGCAGTGGGAACATGTACTCCGTACTCCCTGCAGAGCACTCCCGACCCTCTCCTTTCCCTATCGAAAACGAATGCTCCCCTTGAACTCCCTTTCTATTGTCACCCATTCGTTCTAGATATCCCCGAGCAAGAAGCTCAACAAACTCCCCACAGTAAGCCCACCAACGAGCATCAATCCCATGAAACCTCCAGCTGCCTCCCTCTCTTCTGGCGGCACCCACTGACCGGATCCCATCATGCATTCACTACCCAAATACCCATTCGTCAGGCCAAAAAGAAACTGCACAATGATCAAGTAGAAGAAATCACTCCTCACTACCCCACCCTTGTTCTTGATGTTGCAGAGGAAATATACTGGGATGAACAGCAGTCGTGCCATCGATATGCAGAAGAGGGCAAATGGATAGTGCGTGAGGGAAATTCTGGACCACAGTGTGATCAGCCGACCTGCTAGGTCGCCTATGTTCCATAGTAGGAAGGCTATAGGGATGAATATTGCCGAGTCGATATTGTTGACAGACTGGATCGACGCCGTAAAGATAGGGAACACCATCGTGACCGCGAAGCAAATAAAGACCGCTGCCGCAAGGAAGGGCATCCTGAGGAAGAGCGTGCCTAGTGGCACCGAGGGCCGTTCCTTGATGGGGTCGCCCGAATCCTCGTCCCTTACTGCTGCCGTAATGCTCTCCGTCGTCAATGCGTTCCCTTCGGACGCTTCGTCAGCTCTAGTCTTCGCTGCGAACTGGTGAGCCCGTCGTCTCGCCTCTCGTCGCAGGAGATAGAAGAAAGCCAAGAGCGCAGTCACTGAGATCACAGTGGCTGTCAAGAAATAGACCAATGCTGAAGTGGGAGATTCGTCGGCCGTGTCTGCACCATCACCGTCCTTCTTGGCCGGGACCACCAAAACGGAAATAATCTGCGCCATGGGTGGCAGCACTCCAGCGATACCTTGACCCGTCATGATCCCCTGTGTATATTCGCTTCTCCCAAATCCCGATGCAAACGAGAACAAACCATTTTGGAGCAGGCCTGTGGAGAAGCTGGCTGCGAAGATGGCCACAAGGAGAAAGCCAAAATACACGCCTGGGGACGTGGGAACGAGCGTTGACAGAGACAGCACAGCAAACACCGCAGTGCTAATCATAAGGGACAATGATATTCGCTTCGGATATGACGCCCCCTTTTGCAGTTTAGTCAATGCTATCATTGACCCTAGATTCGTGACCGTCGACACCGACACCTCGGCAGCTTGGAAGTGGTTCAGGATCCATGGATCTCGACGGAAACGGTGCTGGAAGTAGGGGGCCGCGGCGAGGAACATGTTCCTAGGGGTTTCCCTCGTCAGTGACACACTGTTCCCAAGGCCAGGGAGCAGCCGCGTGGACTTTATGTACATACCAGGCCCATAGCATCGCTATCCCAAGCAGGAGAAAAATGACGTATTCAACCCATGAAAACGGTGTCGCAGTCACATTATCCTCATCCGCTCCGTCTTGTACACTCTCGTCATCTCTTTCCGCGTCGCCTCGGATGGGCTGATATTCCTGCCGTGAACGAAACAAGCCCATGTTGGACAGTTGTGGAAGCTCGAATGGAGGTTGTTCAGTGGCAGTCGTTGACATATAGGAGGACGGGCACAGCCGTCAGAGGGGTCAAGTCGTCGGCCACTTCATCTCACTCCATCTTGCGTCGCGTGAACTAACCGGTCCAAGTCATGCGTAGGTCGGTGGCGGTCGATGGGAGTCGGCGGGGAATGAATAGTACAAGTCGTGTGACGGACACCCTGATGTACGTGTACTTGTTACTCCTTGGCCGAAGCCTGTGAATGACGCATCTTCGGTCAAAGGGGGCCGGCCGAATTGGCGTTCGCCACCCCCAAGCGTCCGCCCGAGGCAAACACGACGTCCTTAATAGCTCTTCGACTTCTCTGTTTCAAGCAAAACCGCCTTGTGCAATGAAAAGACTATACGATGAAAGGAGACGTTCAATATTCAGCTTTGTCATTACTCATCGCACATGCACTTTGCGGCAACTCCCCATCCCAGCGCCTCGCTATGTATTTGAAACAAAAAGCCTCCCTCTGGTGGCTCCTCTATTCTTCCATCTGGGCTTTAAAGGCCGCCATGTCAGCTGGTGCCAGCCAACCCCTCACCGCCGCCGTCGTGACGAGGCCGTCTGCACCTACCGGCAACAACGCCGGTTGGACGTTGTTGAGGTAAGTTGACACCTCAGTCAACTTGGCCCACAGCTCCATCTGCAGGTTCTTTGCTGTCCTGCTACTGCCTGGCAGGCTGGCCCCCCTGCCAGCAGGGGTCCTCGTCAGCATATCCGCCAGCAGGTATCCGAGCCAGAACAGGTTGGATTTTGGCAGGAACCTCTCGTACTTGTTCCTTGCCTCATATTCGAGTCCATCAAGTCTGGCGTTTTCTTCCACTTCGGACTCAACCAGCCTTGCCCACTCTCGGGTTCGGCAGTACGTCCCCCACTGCCGTTTATCTTCCTCGGTTCGTGCTACGTATGAGTCTGTTTCCCAAAACAACATTGGGTCGAAGACGATGAGGCCGCTTTTACTCCCATCGCCGAGCTTGGCTCGCGACAGAGTGTAGTCGATGACGGTGATTTGTAGATTTGACATTCCCAAGACGACTTCTGGCCTCTTGTTCATGTCCTCAATGAGGTTCTGTGCTGCATCAATCGGACCGTCTTTGGTTAGAGGCTTGAAGCAGATGTTTCCATTGTGCATATCTCGGTGTTCGAACTCGATTTCTCTCTCCGCGAGAGCGAGAGTCATGGCCGTTTTCCAGAAGATATCATACACCTGAAATGCTGACAGAGTTTTGAGGCGATAGATTGGCTTTCCGGCGTCGTTCATTTCCACGATGGCATAGAGCTGTTGTGGAGAAAAATCCTTCAACGGGTTGGAATGGATGGCGGAAACCGGTCTTGTAGCTTTGAATGCGTCAAACGCTTCGAGGAGGACGTCTGGGTACTTGCCGCTGACAATGTGAATGCCCCGGCAGCGAACAAATCCATGCAAAGCGTCGACTGATTGCATGAGTCGGACTTCTCGGGTGATTGATTCCATGTCAGCGATGTCATTTTGGGCCTCTGGTGTGAGCTTGAACGGGATGATTTTGACGATGAGACCGCCTCGTTTCTCCAAATCC